GGAGGCATGTCATTGGAACTGTGCAAACTGGTGAAAGAATGTTCAGGGAAAGGGTTTGGGGAGGAACAAAAGAGGAATAGTCAGAAAGGAGGAGTATAAAAGGGGCTGGCTGCATTTTAAGATGGGGCTATATGCATGTCTGACTGACCCTGTGCCTGATGACCACAGTCTGTCTTATTAAATCCTTTCATAATTATCTCTCTGTCTAATCTCACTCTGACGCCTCTGTGTGTGTGAGGTCTGCAGCGACCAAGAACAAGGACTTCTTGGGGGATTGGTGTGAGTGGACACTGGGCCAGCAACTGGAGTCAAACTGGGGGTTTGGGTGCCCCATGGCCTGTGGTGTCAGCAACTGGAACAAGTGAGGGTCCTAGCATCAGTATTTGGAGGGGCCATAGCCTTGTGGATCTAGGGATGGTCCTACAGAATTTGAGCCCAGAGTGCCAGCTACATGATGGGACCACTGGGAGTGAAGTTGGTGCCAGCAACTACAATCAGGCTGGGGATGTGAGCACTCCTGACTTGTGATGTCAGCAACCCCAGTGAATGGGGTCTCAGTGCAAGCTACTGGACCAGGTGAGGGTCTTTGCCACCAGCCACTCCTGTGGGAATGGTGTGTGTCCTGAAGATCAGCTGCTGGGAGGGACCAGGGTGAATGAAGCAAGTTAGGGGGTCAGCACTGGTGCCTGGGGCAGGACCGAAGGTCACAGCACATCTGCCTGGTGCCGGCTGCTGTGGAGGCAGCAGGGAGGTCAGGGCCTGTGTCTTCCAAAACCTGATGTTTGGGGTTTTGGGAGTTGGGGGGAAGGAGGTGTAATTTACTAACAAACTTCAAGCTGGACTAGCCAGCAAGTAGGAAGCCTGAGGTCTGGGAATGGGGTCAGGCAAGCAGAGGACCAGTTGCTTGTATTCAGGGGGACCTGTGAATGTGGAGTGCCTCTGAGGCAAGTGTGTGAGTGCTGTGTGTTTCCTAGTGAGGACCAAGCTGGACCAGCTGGCAACTAGAAGATCTATGAAGTGGGTAAGAAGGCCTGGGCAGTGGTATCAGATGGACAGAGGGGCCATGCTGGTACTTAGGGGACACGAAAATGTGCATGCATTCATGGATCTAGAGAATGGTGTGTATGTGCCTGCAGTAGTGAACCTCAGTCTCTACCAGTTGAAGAGGAGGAAGAGGGTATGGCTGTCTATACGTAGGTTTTATGCAAGTCCTATATGTAGGTGCTGTTTAAGGCAGTGCCTTGTCTGTGACAGACTGTAACTGGACATGTCCATTTTCTGCATGTGTGTCTCTGGGATATATACTTGGCTTTGCTACTTTTTGAAGTACTGGAGCTACTACTGGAGCTGTGGGAGGTGGTGTCCACTCCTCCCATCCCTTGCTACTTGTCAGACCTGGGAGTATGGAGCTATGGCAGCCTTGCCTCTGTTGGGCTACTGAATGTGGCCCTCCCTAACATTTATATTAAACATCAGTATGGACTGATAAATTTCCTAGCTAGCTGTTCTTGCAAAGGTCACATCTTAGTAATCGTAGCAGAAGACTTTTTCTGAAGCACTGCCATTGCCACTGCCCACCTTTTGCACACTTCTAGGGAAACCATACGACACCCTTGTTACTTGTCAGCAATACTAGTTCTGCTCTCCAACTGGCTTGTGCTATTTCTGATTTCTAGGTATGGTAGGTTTAAGTTGCAACTGGGAGGTGTTAGAAGCATAGAATCATTAAGGTTGGAAAAGACCTTTAAGATCATCAAGTCCAACCATCAACCACACACCACCATGTCCACTAAACCATGTCCCAAACTGCCCCATCTACATGTTTTTTGAACACTTCCAGTGATGGTGATTCCACCACCTCCCTGGGCAGCCTGTTCCAATGTTTGACCACTCTTTCAGTAAAGAAATTTTTCCTAATATCCAATCTAAATCTCCCCTGGCGCAATTTGATGCCATTTCCTCTTGTCCTGTGTTCTGGCACTGTGGTACAAATCTGCTCTGCCCTTCGTGCTTTTCACAGAGAAGAGAAGGCTGATACGGACATGATCTAGCTAACACGGGCTTGATTTTTGTTTACAAGTTTAATACTCAATTCTTTTGGGTAGCTGGCTTCCCAAGCCTTTTAGCTATGTCCCTGAGCCTCTCTAGGCTCACTTGCATGGAAGTGCTTTTCTTTCAGCTCTGCACCCTGCTCTCATTTGATATTGTCTCACCTCGTACCTTAGAGAAATATTGGGACCAGAGGACCTTATGCCATGAGAGCTTCAGCCTTGTGCAGACACTCTCCTCTGCATAACAGCAGCAAAGGAATAGCAGCGTCAAGAGTGTGGCCTAGAGATGGCATGTTTCTAAAAATCATGACTAGAATATGATTTTTAGAAAGGAGGAGTTTCCAAGGGCAATCAGTTTGGTCTGCTTTTACAAGAACAAAACCTCTAGGGAAGTGTTGAGTTTTTACCTTTTTCTGACAGAGTGCAACAGCTGATAAGTACTTGAAATCTCAATAACCTTTAGCAGCCTGTCTGACTGTACCGTTATTTCCACACTTCCAACTCCACCTTTGAAACTGTGGCTAGCCATTTCTCTTCATAATAAATGTTTAAGGTGGTTTCGTTTTGTGTTTGAGAGATGCTGTTCTTCCCTCAGCTCTGAAAGAAAGCTGAATTTACATTATCACCACTGGGTAATGGATACAGGGAGACAGTCAGTTTGAAGTACACTGTGATTAAGGTTGAGCATGCATCTATTTTCAAATTTTAAAAATTGGCTTTAGATCTGGCTTGAGTGGCAATTTAGTAAATAGGGGTAATTGTGTCTTAGTTTCAGTCACTCTTTGGAGTTCATGCTGTTTTAAAAGTGGCACATTGTTCATTGTGTATTAATTAAATCCAGTGCAGTTTAATGATGGGCTTTCAGCTGCATGCTTTATTTCCAAGACAGAATGGAAGCATTGCTGAGGGCAGTCCAGAAGAGAACTGCTTGCTTTGATGTAAGGAGGCAGAGGGCTGTAGTGGGGAGAATCTAAGGACACTGTTGTTCCAGCAGTCATGGCTGCCTGTGCACAGTATCAAGCTTGAAAGGTCTTCACAGCATTTCAGGAAAGATGTAATAGCACCAATTGTGATGGGTGACTGAACACATTTTCCTTCAGAGCTGCTCAGAAACAGCTGACAAGTGCAGTTTTAGGAGGACTTCTGGAGAAGCTCATTGCATGTGTCTTTATTGCCACCTTCTGGAAAGGGAGAAGAATTTTTTAGTAGATTCTAAAAACATCGCCTCCTTTATTTTTGACAATACACATACCAACTTGTTTTTGTACAAGTACTTGCTCAGATTGTCAATGGAAGACAAAAGTACGTGCAAAACAAAAATAGTGTGCTTTTGATGCTGGAGAGATCACTCTGCTTTGCTCTTTTTTTCTTTTGTTCATCATTATTTTGCATTTTCTGTAAATAACCTGTTTCCACAGGCACTTTTGTCTTAGGGGACTTGTTTTTTTAGCTTGTTCTTGTAAGCAGTAAGATTGCAGAAAGAAAAATAGCTTGGAATAAGCAACTAGCAGAGCTGATATTTCTTTGAAATGCTCTGTAGAATATATGTGCACCTTGAATTTAACAGCATCTTTATTTTAATGAAAGCAAGGAGGAATTTTTCAGAAGCACTCATTCCTAATCTGTACGTAGTGATGCCAGTGGAATTTTTTTTGTTTTGGGTTTTTTTTGTGCATTTCAGTAAGGATTTTTAAGCCATGACAAGTATTTTATAATAATCTACTTTCAGATGTATAACACTACAACCAGACTAGCTTACTGAAGAATAACATGTAGGGAAAAAGGGAAAAGAGGGAAGCACTGCTTAATTCATGTATTAACCATGCATGTTTAATTTAACTATTACTATAATTTATGGACATCATATTGAGGCTTCAAGAAAGTAGACCCTGATGCATTTTAGAGGAAGGGGAGGAATAAACCATGAAGTAAATTGTATCTTTTGCCTGGTAATTCTGAGACACAAATATTAACAGAGTCAAGGAATATCCAGTATGTATATTTTTAAATATATTATATATAATGCATTTATATTGTAATTTTTTATATATTTAATGTTATATATCGTATATAAAGTATATATTAAAATACATGCATATGTTTAGATAAACATATATTTTAATACATAAACAAAACCAAGGAAACTAGAAGAGGAGCTAGATGGACAAAGGATCTCAGATGATGTATTAGACCATTTAAGGTGGGAGACTATAAAGCAAGGACTTGCCTATAGTCACACAGGGGAGTCCGTAGCAGAGGGAGAAGCAAAGTTAGATTTCCAGAATGCTAGCGTAAGGCCTCCTGTCTCCCTAATTGTTGTTGTGTGTCACCACTCCAAACTAAATAGTTTTCTTGCATCTTTGCTTGAATTTCCTGCAGAGTTTCTGTAAACATTTCTAGTTCCAGGAATAAGATGCCATTTTCTTCTTCCTCTCTCTGAAATTAAGTCTTTTTAGCAGCTGTCATCTCAGTAATGAGAATGCCTTCTGTCTGCAAGTAGATTTCAATCCTAAGTTTTAACCCATGTAAAGCAACAGCATGCCTTGAGCAATTCCTGCGAGTGCTTCTAAAATGCGTTAAAATGTGAGGGGGGCAGTGAGATGTTAATGTCACTTTCCATTTTTTTCCATTTTTCTTCATCATGATTGAAATCACACATGAAGCTAGCAGCATTAGAGCATTGTCTGTTGTGCAGCTAAACACAGAGGGAATATTTTAATGCAGCTGTACTGAGGTAACTTCTTCTGTGTCTGAGTATAGATTTTTAGCAGCCTTTACGTCTTGAATGCCTTGAAGCCAGTGTCTCACTGCAGATGATACCCATTGACAAAGTATATGTTGCAAGGTTTCATCACAGAACTCTAATTCCTTCTTGGTAAACTGACTCTCTTTAAAAAAAACAGAGTTAAACTGTGCCATAACAAAATTATTTGTGTTTTTTTCCTTCAGGTGAAAAATGTGTTTTGTATGAAGGCAAAGGAAGGCAGAAAAAAATCAACACGTGCCTTAGTGGCTATTGGAAATGGTAAAGGGGCTGCAGGTATGTGCATTTACTGTATATGAAAGATGCCAAATGAATTGTTGCTTGTAACAGGACTTTGGGAGGCATGGTGATTTAAAGGAACTTTTTATACTTCAGAAAAGGAAAAAGAACATTTACCTTTTTTTTTTCTGTTGGGCAATATTGAAATACCTGTAAGAATTATGAGTTCATCTATAAAAGTAAGCTTTATAATCAACTTGGGTATTTATTCATTGGGACACTTTGTTTTGTATTTAAAAAAAAAGGGCGAAAAGTAGTAGTATGTGATTAGGTTTGGAGCATATATTATCCAGTGGTAAAAACATTTTTTATTTAACTTTATAGAATGATAGAACTAACCACTGGTAGATCCTACCAGAGGGATCATCTACACTTTCCTGTACACACTGTTTCTTTTTACTGTAGATACTGTTTATGTGTAAAAAAAAAAATCAAAGCCTCAAAGTATTCAGCCACGTAAGTCTGCATTTGTTTCACCCAGCCTTAATCACCTAGTTGCAGAGTGTAGCTGTTTACTCTCAAGTCAAAGAAAAGAATCAGGCACCTGCAAAAGGTCCACTTTACGGGCTTCCTACAAATACTATATTTAACACTTTTAGGGAAAAATAGAATACTCAGGGCCCTTTGAGTCTGTCATGGTAACTTCAGTGATCTGTGGCTTGACCCATTTGTAGGCTTTCTGCATTGAAACAACTCTTTATAATGTTCTCTTCAAACAATTTGAAGTCTTAACCATAGAAACGCTGTCTACAGCATAAAGTAAATAGGACAAATCAAAAGAAACATAGGATTACGAAGGAGCTTCTAATATGAGCTGTGAAAAGAGACCTTTTTCCTTTTCTTTCTCAGCAAAGACTGGAGAAAGAATACTGGTCAGAGGCATTCAGTTTAGTTGTGATTTCCTTGTAACGGAACTCTAAGCACAGTTATGCATGCAGGGTAGTGATGACCAAGCTGTCTCTAGAAGCAATCAAACCATCTCAGTGCATCATCTAACTTGGATTAACCAGCCCTGGATCCCAGCTTATATCATGTGTTCATATGATTCATATGTTAGTAAGATCGCTCACAGCAAAGACATAGATCATAGAATCATAGAAGTATAAAGGTTGGAAAGGGCCTCTAAGATCATCAAGTCCCAGCGGTCAGCTGGACACCACCATGCCCACTAAACCATATCCTGAAATGCCACATCACACATTGTTTGAACACTTCCAGTGATGGTGACTCTACAACCTCCCTGGGCAGCCTGTTCCAATGTTTGACCACTCTTTCAGCAAAGAAGTTTTTCCTAATATCCAATCTAAACCTCCTCTAAACTTGAGGCCATTTCCTCTCATTCTGTCGCTAGTTACTTGGGAGAAGAGATGAACACCCACCTCACTACAACCTCCTTTCAGGTAGCTGTAGAGAATGATAAGGTCTCCCCTCAGCCTCCTCATCTCCAGACTGGCATTCCCTCAGCCACTCCTCATAAGACTTGTTCTTCAGACCCCTCACCAGCTATGTTGCCCTTCCCATGACTGATACCTGGCATGTTGTGCCGTGTTCCTCTCCCCAGGAGTTTGGAAAATGCTGCAATAAGTAATGACAGTTCTTTTTTCAAGTGGAGTGTTTAGCAATCTTGGCCAGAAGAGTCTTTGAGTTGATCAGAATTGGTCTTTACAAAATGAGGAGACAAGAATTCACTCTGCTGCAGCTTTTTACAGGGTTGTATGCAAAGTTAAAAGTTGCAAGAAAAATTCTTAGTTGAATCAGTTATTACTGTTGATGGGAAACTCAGTGTAGAGGAGGCTGAAGTAGTTTCTGTGTTATGTTTGCAAATTTTCTAGATGAGCACAGAATCACAGAATCACTAGGTTAGAAAGACCCTTCAAGATCATCAAGTCCAACC